GCTAAAATCGTGTTAGGGTTGTGGATTATGGAACATTTATGAGTCCTTGGCCTTATGGTGAAGGCCTTGGACGAATTTGATGAATATGGTGTAATTTATGCATTTTTGAATCGCGTCTTGCTGCTAAATTTTGCTAAAATCATCATAAATTGCTCGAATGTCCAAATGACTTGAAATTTGACCTGAGTAGTCCCCTGTGGTGTTGTAAGTCGTGTAAAAGCTTTAGGTCAAAATGCCTTCTGTAGCTATGTCAAATATCGATTTTTGATTCTGGGCAGAAACTTCGAAAAATCATATAAAAATTCTTGAAATTTTTATGTGACTTTTGGTGAGTGATGTTATTATGTCATTATGTGTGTTGTGTCCAAATTTCATTGAAAAACTTCAACGTTTGGCTGGAGACCTTGTTTGTAAGTTCGATTTTATGTCGATATTTTGCCTAAATGGGTCCGTATGGTTAAACTGAAGTTGTGAAGTTGGAACCTTGGTAAAAACATGTCTTTCTGGGTTCTTATTGTCATGTAAACATTTCAAGTTAATTGGTCGGGTGCATTTTAAAATCGGTCGGTCCTATTTGAAACATGTCTGTCTGTTGGGTCCTGTGCGCCACTGCCAGCGCCCAGCGCGTGCCCCGTGCATGCTAGCATCACGCCCCAGCGCGCAGCACAACACCCGCAGCATTGTGCTCCAGCGCACCTGGTGTGTCCGACTGCGCCCCGCGCGCCCCAGTTGCACCCAAACGTGCCCCGACCAGGCCAGAAAGCCAACCAGCGCCCATGTCGAGCCGCCCGAGCCTCTTCTTGTGTTTTCCCGAACCCTTAAATGTGTTTTGACATGGTCAACCTTGTTTTGTGTGCTGAGTCTATATGGGGTATTTTTATTTGCGTTTGAAGAGTCTATATATTGAGTTCGAGTGTTCCAATATCCACAAAACTTCACGAACAACTTGGTTGAATCAAGTTCGACCAAGTATAATTTGTGACTTTCTTCAAGGTCAAGATAAGTATTGACCTTATTATCTTGACTTAAATGTAGGTGCTTGACGAGCCGAGCTCGCGACCCACTCGTAATTGTGTGCTGCCTTTTTGCTATACCAGGTGGGTTTAATTTTGAAAGAATGCTATGCTTTAAATGTTATTACTGATTTATTTTTGGTATGATCAAAGTATGCATGTGAATCATGTAGCCTTCAGTGTGAGTTGTATCAGTCACCGGACGGTTATCCCCGTAGCTATAGAAGGTATCCTCTAGGTAGTCTCCCTTGAGAGCCGTAAGACCAGGGCTTAGGTACCTCGGTTGGTGATCCTCATTGGTAAGACCAAGGAAACGCCTTGGTCGGTCGGTGGTTTACTCCTACTGGCTGGCACTCGATGTAGGTCCGGAGGGCATTCGGTATATAGTCAGCAGTAGTCTATGCGTAGGTGTGCACAGGATTCTGATTATTGTGATTATTGATGGGAGAATGGGATAGATTATTGCTTCGTATACATGCTGAGACCATACCTTACTGATTATAGATTACTGTTGAATGTTGACATTAATGTTTATCACATAGTGGTGAGCACTATTGTTTCCTTTTGTGCTCATCCCCACCTGCTCTTCATGGATGTAGGTTAGTGTTGCGGGCACGGCGGAGGGAAGCGAGTGGTGGTCATATTAATTGTTATTGCTTCCGCCTTAAATTAAATTATTGCTATTATTGCTTATTTGATTACTGGTTTATTAATAGGGATTGTATTCCCTAGGATTTTATGAGTATTGGATTATTTGGATTGGTTATCGATTATTGAACTGGATTATTGTTGGATTATTGATTATTGATAAACGAGTATCGAGGATTGAGTATTGATTATTGTTTGAATTTTGAAATTGGTTTTGAAAATGAGTAGCGCCTCAAGTGTTTTAGAAAATAAATTTGAAAAATCTATTCGCATTTTTGGCAAATAAAAGTGGGGCATTACAGTTTGGTATCAGAGCCAGTTTGCATTTCTGTAGACTGGTTAATGTGAATTATGTGATTATTGCTTTGACCTTAAGTTATGACCACTTGCTCTCGTCGTGCCGTGCCAGCTCAGGCATGAGTACCTGAATAAATTTGAGATTACTATGCAATGCTTGATTATTGATTATTGAATATGAAATCGGTGTTTAGGAGTTATCCACCTATGTTTTAAATTCGGACTCTAGTGTTGAACTCAAGATTCCCTTATTATTGTGCTAAATATTTTCTCGAACCATTTTCAATGTAGAATTATGGCTCGTCGTAATGCTCGCAATCATCAGCCTACCCCATCTCCGTCTCCATCTCCACCCCCATCTCTTCCTCACCAGCAGGCTCCCAACCCGGCTGGGGCTCATCTTAACATCGTGCTTCAGTTTCGCTAGTTGACTCCTCCGGCTTTCACCGGGGTTAAGGGCCCGAAGCAGTAGCGGAGTGGATCTGTCAGTCAGAGCATAACTTCAATTTGTTGCAGTGCACCGACGCCCAGAAGGTCATCTGTGGCCGCTATATGCTGAGGGGCGATGCCGCTTTATGGTGATCCGGCTACTGAAGACTGAGGCAGACGAAGATGAATGTCTTGACTTGGCAGCGCATGAAGGAAGTGATCATGGAGAAATACTACCCGCAGAGTTACCGCATGAGAATAGAGCATGCGTTATGAGATCTCATTATGGGGACGGGCACAGTTGAGGATTACGATCAGGAGTTCACTCGCATGAGCGCCTTTGCTCCACACATGGTAGACACCGACCTGAAGAAGGCCATCAAGTTCTGGGATGGACTGAACCGAACCCTTCGTATGCACGTTGCTAGCAAGGGAAACCTTTCCTATGATGAGACTGTTATCCGAGCCATTCAGCTGGAGACTTATCATACTCTCGATGCTTCTGTCCTTTATTTTCAGCTAGTTCAACCCATTTCCTCCGTGCCGCCCGGCTCTAGTTCGGACAAGAGGAAGGCAGATTCCCACCAGGACAACCGGAAGGAAAAGCGTGGCAGAAATAACCGTCATGGCGAGCGCCCCGCCCCTTAGGGCTAGTTGCCGAGGTGCCGTTACTGTGGTCGCTATCATCCGGGAGATTTCCATTACACCCAGCGAGTTTGCTTCAACTGCATGAAGCCCGGCCATTTCTTCAGTGCATGCCCCGAGCCCCTGAGGCAGCAGCCTCACCAGCAGCAGCTTCCCCCTCCACCTTGCCAACAGCAGCAGCTCAGGCAGCCCCCACCACACCAGCAGAGGGCTGAGCGTCACGCTCCAGTCTATACCATCACTCATGACGAGGCGGCCAACAATGCAGGTATAATGTCTGGAACGCCCTCCATATCAAACGTGCCTATTTTTTGCTTTGTGTGACACCGGGGCCACCCACTCCTTTATCTCTTCTCGTTTCTTGGAGGCTTTGTCTATTAGTAATGTGTGCCATTGTGATCCTTTCGATGTTAGTCTAGCCTCAAGAAAAATTATTGTTACTGATTCTATGGTTCCTAGTCTTCAAGTCAGTATTGGTGGGCGAGTTATTAAGGTCAATGCTTATGTGATTGAAAAGCGAGACTTCGACGTGATCTTGGTCATGGACTAGATCACTCGCTACCAAGCCGATATCTGGTTCCAGGAGCGCGAAGTCACTCTCTTTCCCGATTCCGATCAACCTTTTGTGTTATTTAGGGTGAATTCGAGGACTGTTCCTCGAGTCATCTCTTCTATGCAAGCTAGGAAGAGCCTTTCCAAGGGTAGTTGTCAAGGCTATCTTGTATTTTTGGTGTCCAAGGATGATTCCGAGCGAACTCCAGATCGAGTTTCTATTGTTTGAGAATACCTTAACGTCTTTCCCCATGAATTGCCTCGAGGACCACCCGATCGCCAAGTCGTATTCACCATTGACTTAGTACCGGGAGCTGGTTCCGTGTATAAGGCCCCTTACCATATGGCGCCGAAGGAGCTTCAGGAGCTCAAGGCCAGATCCAAGAACTGCTCAAGCTCGATTTTATTTGGCCGAGTGTTTTGCCGTGGAGAGCGCCCGTCCTATTCGTGAAGAAGAAAGACAGATCGATGCGCATGTATATTGACTATCAGGAGCTGAATACCCTTACAGTCAAGAACAATTAACCCCTTCCTCGTATTGAGGACCTCTTCGACCAACTGAGGGGAGCCAGCGTCTTTTTCAAGATTGATTTGAGGTCTGGCTATCATAAGCTGAAGATCCGGAAGTCAGATATTTCTAAGACTGCCTTTCGTACCCGTTTTGGTCACTAGGATTGAGTAGTTATGCCGTTCAGACTCAGCAATGCCCCAACAATTTTCATGGACCTTATGAATGGGTCTTTTATCCTTTCTTGGACCAGTTTGTCATTGTGTTTATCGACTACATCCTAGTCTATTCCCGAGACATCGACCAGCACAAGGAGCATCTGAGGATTATGCTGGAGACTCTTTGCCGCGAGAATCTTTATGCAAAATTCTCGAAGTGCGAGTTATGGTTGGATCGTGTGGCATTCCTTGGCCACATTGTGACAGCGAGAGGCATTGAGGTGGATCCCAGCATGATTGAGGCGGTGAGCAAGTGGGAGACACTAAGGATTGCCGCTGATGTTCGTAGTTTCCTGGGGTTAGCAGGATACTACAGGAGGTTTATTGAGGGCTTCTCGAGGATAGCCCAACCACTAACCAACCTTACGAAGAAGGCCGTGAGCTATGATTGGTGTTACATGAATTTCATCCGGGAAAACCCATCTTTTTCCACGTTCTGAAGCTCCTTGCTTTGACTCACCCAAAAGGGAAACTTCAAGAGAAACAGAAGAATGATTTTGAAAGAAAGAACAACAAACAATGACGGTTGCAAAGCTCGACTGAAAAGAAAGCAGTAGCTTGCTTTTTCATCCTAAAATCCCAATAAAATGCTCAAATATCACATTTCGATGTCTTGTAGGCAAAGGTTTTTAGTATTACAGGGGGGACTGTAACAAATCTAGGAATTTGGAGTTATGAAGGTGTGAGGAGAGTTTCTAGAAGTTGAAGAGGAGACTCACTACCGTGCCCGTTCTGTCCATTCCGACCCTACTTTGGAGTTCACTATCTACAGTGATGCTTCGGAAATGGGTTTGGGTTGTGTTCTCATGCAGCAAGGGAGAGTTGTAGCCTATGCTTCGAGGCAGCTGAAGCCTCACGAGCAGAACTACCCCACTCATGATCTCGAGTTAGCTGCAGTCGTTCACGCCTTGAAGATTTGGCGGCACTACCTCTATGGACGCAAGTGTGAGATATTTACCGACCACAAGAGCCTTAAGTACATCTTCACTCAGAAGGAGCTGAATATGCAGCAGCGTAGGTGGTTGGAGTTGGTCAAGGACTACGATTGCACGATTAGCTACCATCCTGGGAAAGCTAACGTGGTTGCCGACGCGTTGAGTCAGAAGAGTCATGGTCAGCTGTTTTGCCTACTCATGGGGCAAGAGATTCTAGTTCGGTAGTTCTAGCGGCTACAGCTGGAGGTAGTGGAGTCGACTTTGACAGCCGTGGGTATGTTAACCGCCTTGGTTGTGGGACCGACTCTTCGTGAGAGGATAGTCGTCGAGCAACCGAATGACCGTTTTCTATGCCGGATGAAGGAGTTGTCGGAAGCCGATAGAATTGGTGGATTCACAGTCGCATCTGATGGAGCCTTGGTTTTCGAGAAGAGACTATGTGTTCCGAAGGTGTGGGAACTGTGGAAGGAGATTCTGAGAGAGGCCCATAGTGCCCCGTATACCATCCATCCTGGTAGCACGGAAATGTATCAGGACCTGAGGAAGTCTTTCTGGTGGCGAGGCATGAAGAGGCAGGTGGCGAGGTTCGTGGATGGGTGTCTGGTGTGTCAGCAAGTGAAGGCTGAGCACCAGAAACCGAGAGGGTTGTTGAAGGCCCTTGAGGTTCCCATGTGGAAGTGGGAGTGCATCAGCATGGACTTTTTGGTAGAATTTCCTAGATCAAGGTTCGGGCATGATTCTATTTGGGTGATCGTGGACCGACTCACGTAGTCTGCCCACTTTTTGCTAGTTCGGACGACCATGAAGTCGAGTGATTATGCTGAATTGTTCGTCAAGGATATTGTTAAGCTTCATGGGTTGCCCGTGGAGATTGTTTCTGATCGAGACCCGAAGTTCACGGGCCAAATCTGAAGGATGTTGCACCGAGCCATGGGGACGAGGTTGGAGTTCAGTATAACCTTTCACCCTGAGACAGATGGTCAGTCAGAGCAGACGATCCAGTACTTGGAGGATATATTGAGGGTTGTGGTCTTGGACCAGAGTCTGACTTGGGAGTATGCTCTTCTGTTAGTCGAGCTGACCTACAATATAACTACCACTCTTCGATCAAGATGGCCCCGTATGAGGCTTTGTACGGACGAAAGGAACTCCTTAGTATTGGGATGAGGTCGGAGAGAGGAAGATTATGGGTCTGGAGTTTATTCGTAATACTGCGGCGACAGTCGTGGAGATCCGGAAGACCATCAGGGCTTGCCAGGAGAGGCAGAAGGTCTACGCCGACCGAAAGAGGCAGGAGCATGTGTCTGCGGTCGGTCATCATGTCTTCCTGAAGGTTTCACCCATGAGAGGTGTGATTCGAGCATCATTCCTAAGTATTGGAACCAAACCGAGAGGAGACTGGCCCAAGTCGTGGTCGCGCCCGTGCCTCGTCATGGTCCGAGGACCCGCGCCAATGCCGAGCCCGCCCAGATTTTCCCCCTCCTCTTGCGTTAATTTGGTAAGTTGCTTGTATGGGAAGTTTCCCTCAAGCCTTTAGCTAGCCCTAATGCTATATATATGGGAGAAACCCCTTAGCTCGACAGATTATATTTTTCATCGCAGTCATCCCTTTTTCTCTCTCCTTCAATCCCTCCATCGCTCTCTCTCTCTCTTTTTTCGATCACCGCCGCCGCTTGAGCCTGTACCCTTGCCGTCACTCGTTGGCCTGTGGCCATCGCGACACCGCCGGGCAATGCCTCCATCCTATCGCAAGCAAGTCCTGGCGCGACCCTGGTGTGTATCGCTACGCTGCTCGCGTGCCCCATCGCACTCCAGTCGAGTCCATCGCATCGCTGTACCTCGCAAGCCATTATTGCCAGGCCGTGTGATCGCTAATCGCACACCGTTCTTCGTACGCCCTGCTCGCAGTCCATCGCCCAGCGACCCCGGAGGCGACCCCAGCAGTCACGCGCAGGCCATCCCCAACGCCAACAGACGTGCGCAAGCCCACTACCGTGGCTTCCCAGCGCGTGCACCGTAGCCCGTTCGGCCTTTCTCGCGTGTATTCGTACCTTTTCTTGAGAACGGTACATAAAGGCCTGAACCCCCTTCGTTTTAATCTTTATAAATGATATTAATTGAGCCTTGCTAGAATTTTGCATGTTAGAGATTAATATTAATTGCTTTTAATGTGAGTTATGTTTTAATTATGTGAGATTAAGTGTATTCATGCTAAAATCGTGTTAGGGTTGTGGATTACAGAACATTTATGAGTCCTTGGCCTTATAGTGAAGGCCTTGGATGAATTTGATGAATATGGTGTCATTTATGCATTTTTTAATCGTATCTTGCTGCTGAATTTTGCTAAAATCATCATAAATTACTCGATTGTCCAAATGACTTGAAATTTGACCTGAGTAGTCCTACGTGGTTGTTGTAAGTCGTGTAAAAGTTTCAAGTAAAAATTCCTTCTGTAGCTATGTCAAATATCGATTTTTGATTCTGGGTAGAAACTTAAACAATTCATATAAAATCAAATTCTTGTAATTTTTATGTGAATTTTGGTGAGTGATATTATTCTGTCATTATGTGTGTTGTATCCAAATTGTATTGAAAAACTCTAACGTTTGGTTGGAGAACTTGTAAGTTCGGTTTTATGTCGATATTTTTCCTAAATGGGTCCGTAAGGTTAAACTGAAGTTGTGAGGTTGGAACCTTGGTAAAAACATGTCTTTCTGGGTCCTTCTTATCGTGTAAAAATTTTAAGTTAATTGGCCGAGTGCATTTTAAAATCGGCCGGTCCTATTTGAATCCTGTCTGTCTGTCGGGCCCTATGCGCCACTGCCAACGCCCAGCGCATGCCCCGTGCATGCCAGCACCACGCCCCAGCGCGCAGCACAACGCCCTAGCGCCCTTAGCACCATGGCCCAGCGCCCGATGAGTCCGTCAGCGCACCGCGTGCCCCGGCTGCACCCAAACAGTGCCCCGACCATGCCAGCAAGTCAACCAGCGCCCATGCCTGGCCGCCCGAGCCTCTTCTTGTGATTTTCCCAAACCCTTCATTGTGTTATGACCCGATCAACCTTGTTTTGTGTGCTGAGTCTATATGTGGTATTTCTATTCGCGTTTGCCGAGTCTAAGTATTGAGTTTGAGTATTCCAATATCCACAGAACTTCAAGAACAACTTGGTTGAATCAAGTTCGACCAAGTATGATTTGTGACTTTCTTCAAGGGAAAGATAAGTACTGACCTTATTATCTTTACTTAAATGTAGGTTCTTGACGAGCCGATCTCGCGACCCACTCGTAATTGTGTTATGCCTTTTTGCTATACCAGGTAGGTTTAATTTTGAAAAATTGCTATGCTTTAAATGTTATTACTGATTGATTTGTGGTATAATCAAAGTTTGCATGTGAATCATGTAGCCTTCGGTGTGAGTTGTATCGGCCACCGGACGGTTATCCCCGTAGCTATAGAACGTACCCTTTGGGTAGTCTCCCTTGAGAGCCGTAAGACCAGATCTTAGGTCCCTCGGCTGGTGATCCTCATTGGTAAGACCAAGGCAAGGCCTTGGCCGGTGGGGTGGTTTACTCCTACTGGCTGGCACTCGATGTAGGTCCGGAGAGCATTCGGTATATAGTCAGTAGTAGTCTATGCGTAAGTGTGCACATGAATCTGATTATTGTGATTATTGATGGAACAATGGGATAGATTATTGATTCGTATACATGCTGAGACCATACCTTACTGATTATTGATTACTATTGATTATTGACATTAATGTTTATCGCATAGTGGTGACCACTACTGTTTCCTTTTGTGCTCATCCCCACATGCTCTTCATGGATGCAGGTTAGTGTTGCGGGCATGGCGGAGGGAAGCGAGTGTGGTCATATTAATTATTATTGCTTCCGCCTTATTGAATTATTGATATTATTGCTTATTTGATTACTGGTTTATTGATAGGGATCGTATTCCCTAGAATTTTATGAGTATTGGATTTTTCGGATTGGTTATCGATTATTAAACTGGATTATTGTTGGATTTTCATTATTGATAAACGAGTATTGAGGATTGAGTATTGATGATTGTTTGAATTTTGATATTGGTTTAGAAAATGAGTAGCGCCTCAAGTGTTTTAGAAAATAAATTTGAAAAATTTATCCTGATTTTTGACAAATAAAAGTGGGGCATTACAGTTTTTCTGCTTTAACATCCTTGATCTTCTTTTTCTTTGCATAAACCTTCATCTTGGTCTTGGCAGCAACAACCTTCTTGACTACTTCGTTGACCTTGCCACTCGCCTTTGAACTCTCCCCCTTTTTCGCTTTAGCCGCCAAAGATCCACCATTCTTTAACCCACTAAGAGTTTACTTGTAGTACTGTCGCTGATCAGACATCCTCATTTCAAGGGTGGGAAAAAGACCAACTTGTTTCTCAATGAATTTACTCAGCATTAATGGCACATCTGGTGCCCTATCAAACCTTGTTACCAGACAAGGCCAACAGTTTCACTGATGGTGCAAGTATATCACCAATCCTGGGGTCCTTTTTGAGCCTAACACACACAAGAATGGAGTGAATGACAACAGGAAAAGCAACATCTTATGTATCAGCAAAGAAGACAACATTCTTAAAGATAATAGACCCGAGATCCAAAGGAACACCACTCAGAATACGATAGATGGCACGAGTTTGGGTAGAAGTGACCTTTTTCTTATGAGTGGTAGGGGTCCAATTGAGAGAGCCGATTTTCTGCTGAGCATTTGCTTGATCATTCAATCTATTTACAAACAGACATGAAGGGATTCATTTATCGAGCTGACCTTCTGTAATCACCACAACCACTTTATTAAGATCTTCATCTAAAGGAGACAGGAAGAACTCAACCACACAGTTCGTTACGAAAATCTTATGAAATTTGGAGATTTCATATCAGAGATAGATGGACACATGTTTGCATAAAACTCATAGACAAGCTTAGGACAAGAAGTGCTATCAATCTAAATGGATTTTAGGAGACCTACGACTTTCAGATGATCAAATAAACCAAGACGCTCAAAATGAAAAGGTACAACTGACCGTTCACTACGAAAGAGCATTTGAGAAAATACTTCATTGTACCTGGTCTCGGCAAGAGGTGAATAAAAATGACGAGAAAAAGTGAAACTAACATCCCATGGGGCAGAAAAATCATCACCAACATACATATTCTTGAACGACAAAACATCAGGCT